AAACCATCTGCACAGAAATTATCGTTTTATCTAAATGTTTTGAAACCAGGCAACCATGAATTTTGCATCTCCTGTTTTACTTCACACTTGTAGGATAGTTTAACATGTTGAGAGATGAAAGTCTCAGCTACCACTTGGCCAGTTTGAATTACAATGGGGCCAGACATGAGAACATAAATAAACCATATTTCAGTCATTGTTCCTGAGCAACAGAACAGAGTGAGAGAAAATGAATTTGTGACAGCAGGAACTCCAGGTCTGTTTCGCTGTTTCTCTCAACATCTTGAAAGACAGTGCCATTAATTTGGGGAAACACTGAAAACTCAAAGATATTTACAAGCCTCATCATCGCTGAGATGCCAGTACTCCTCAAGGACTATAAAACCATGTAGCCTTTACTCATAGAGTCATAGAGGTCTATGGCACGGAAACAGGCCCTTCGGCCCAACTTGCCAATGCCACCCAGTTTAAACAATTTAAACTAGTTCCATTTGCCTGTGTTTGATCCATATCCCTCCATGCCTGCCCCATCTATGTATCTTTCTCAATATTTCTTACTCTTCTTGTCTTTCCCAGGTAGTCTCTCATTTTTAAACTTATTACCTGTGTTTATGCGTGTGTTTGATTTATTTTTCTCAGGTTTAGCAGATAATAAAACTCCTCTTTCTTCCATCAAGGGGAGGTGGTGACATAGTCATGATGTCACTGGGCTAGTAATCCAGACCCCTAGACAAGTATTCTATGTACACAGGTCTGAATCTCTGAGCCAGATGGTGAAATTTGAGTTCGACAAATACCTATAATTTTAACGGTGACCATGTAACCTCTGCTGATTGTCACAAAAACCCATCTGGTGCACTCACAACGTTTAGTGAAGGAAATCTGCCATCCTTACCTGGTGAGGCTTACATGTGACTTCTGGATGTGTGGTTTGGAATACTGTGAACAGTTCTGGTCTCTATATTATTAAAGAGGTATAGAGGTACTGGAGAAGCTTCAGGAAAAGATTCCCTGGAGTGATACCTGTAGTGAGAGGTTATTCCCGTTTTGAACAGAGACTGATGCTCATCCCTGGAGAAGAGCAGATTCAGGGTAATCCTGATAGAGGTCTTCAAGATAAACAAGGCTTTGATAGAGTGGATGTAGAGATGGTTCCACTTGCTGTGAATAGTACTAGGGGTCGTAAACATAAGAGAATCCCTAATAAATCCAATTATTAAGGAATATTAGGGAATTTGGGGAAATCTGTAGGAGGTTGAGGGTTGACATTATAGAGGTTTATAAAATCATGAGGGGCACACATAAAGTAAATGACAAGGGCCTTTTCCCTAGAGTGGGGGAGTTTAAAATTAGGGGGCATATTTTTAAGGTGAGGGGACAAAGATTTAAAAAAGACATGAGGGGCAACTTTTTTACACTGAGAGTGGTTAGTATGTAGAATGAACTTCCTGAGGAAGTGGTGGATGCAGGAACAGATACAATGTTTAAGAGACATTTGGATAAGTGCATGAATGAGAGATGTTTGGAGGCATATGGGCCATGCACAGGCAGGTGGGAGTGCTTCAGTTTGGAATTATGGTTGGCATGGATTGATTGGACCAAAAGGTCTGTTTCTGTGCTGTATGACTTTATCTCTCTGTGGGAGAGTGGTGAGAATGTGGAACCTGCCACTCCAGGGATTGTTGAGGTGATTAGAATATATGCACTTTAGGAGAAGCTAGGTAAGCACATGACCGAGAAAAGACAAACAGGAGATTATCATGACAACCAAGGTGGTCAGTGAACTGTGAATTTATCTAGTTTGTTTAACCTGCTTTTAGCTTTTCACTCAGTGTTCCAACTTAAAAATAACTAACGGTAAAGCTTCAGTTTTAAAACAAGGCCAAACGTTAGCTCTTTTCAAGCTATTGTGAAAAGTTCCCCAAGAATGAAGAGAGTAAAAAATTATGAGCTAAAAGTTTACCATTACCACATTTAAAACAGTTGGGACATTAGAATACTTAGAGTCATAGAGTCATAGAGCTGTACAGCATGGAAACAGACCCCTTAGTCCAACTTCCAGGGAGAAAGTGCCAATCAGGTCTCTCTTGGGGCCTGTTGATTGAGTTATTCCAGCTGAAATAAAGAGGTTACCCCTTAAAGGTAGATCCAACTGCTGTGATGGTTTGTGTGGTCAAATATTTGGAGGGTTTCTTGTCCAGGTGGACTCAGCAGGAGAACAAATTTTAGGCGAGTGCAATTTCCTTGTTTCTGGTTCTGTGGACGAAGCGCTATTAGTTGTCCAGTTAAACACCATCAGCTGTTTTCAGATCTTTCTCACTCTGGAGAGAAGTTTTTTCCAGAGGGTCCAAGATGGAATCTGTCTCTCTGTCTAAGCAGCTCACTCGTTGTATCATTCGAGCTGGCAATTAATGGCGGCCGCTGTTACTATGTAATTGATGTGAAAAGCTAAGTCATATTCCACGTAAGGCCAATAACAGCCCTTCTCCCACCTGTGGTCCTTCACTTTTGTTCTGGTCTAATTTAGATTCTCTAAGTCAGTCATCAAGGAAACTTTATTAACTCCTGGATGAGACTACAGTGAAACATCATTAAAGTGACCATTATCTGTTGTTTTCTCTAAAATGGAGACCCAGACTGAAATTCACAATTGCTTCTGAGGCCTGGAACCATTTTGAAACAGTCTTTTTGCAGGATTATCTTTTATATTTAAAAAATGCAATATTCCTTAAAACAAATTTTGTCTGTAATTTACCAGATCATAACAATACCATTGTGACAGACATATTGACAAGCTTCCAGGGAGAGGAGGATGTATGTGTGTAACATAAATACTGGGACAGATATGATGGGCCAAATGACCTCTTTATGTGCTGTGAATACTTTGTAAATGCTGTGTAAATAATGTTGGATGTTCTACATTAATTACAATCAGTGTCGATACATTGCTTGGCTCATCTGTGGACTTGTCATTTCAAACCTTTTCTTTCTATCTGCAGGTATATCAAAAAATTACTCCACTTGCTCGTCGGACCTCTCCAGCTGCCCTGATGGATACTGCGATGTTGTGGAGAAGAAGAAAAGCACCTGTCCCCAAGATTGCATTGGTATGTAACCACAGTCATCCTTGCCCTGCCAAATCTTGACTTGCTACGTACACATCAGCATGGGCACCAGACAGAACAGTCATGTTTCACGGACTCATAGATATTTACAGCACAGAAGGAGACCATGTCTATATCGATCAACAAAATTCAGACATAACCAATCCTGTTTTCCAGCTTTTGGCCCATAGCCTCGGAGGTAATACAAGTGAATATCTAAATACTTTTAAAATGCTACTGCGGTTTTTGACTTTTGGACAGCAAGTTTTAGACTCCCATCACCCTGTGAGTCTTAGCCTTCTACCTCTTTCCTTAAATTTATGCTTTCTGGTTATTGATCACACTCCCAACACTAATGAGCAAAGTATCTTCCTATCTCCCTTATCTGTGCCCATCATAATTTTATACATCTCTATCAGGTTCCCTCTCAACCTTCAAAGAAAGCAACCCTAGCTGCTCCAAAGTAAACAACCCCAGCTTCTCCAATCTTTCCTCATGGCTTAGACCCCAGGAAGCATCTGGTAAATCTCCTCTGCACCCTCTCTTCTGTAATCACATCCATCCTTTAATGTGGTGATCAGAACTGCATGCAGTATTTCAGTTGTGACCTAACCAACATTTTATACAGTACCAGCTCCTATATTTCAGTTTGTGGTCCTATAGTCTTTGCAACTGACTAATAAAGAGAAGTATCTCATTTCCTTTCTCAATCACCTAATTGACCTGCCCTACCACCCTCATTCATGGGATGAAGGCATCACTGATAAGACCAGCATTTATTGCCCATCCCTAATTGCCCAGAGAGCAGTTAAGAGTCAACCACATTGCTGTGGGTCTGGTGTCACATGTAGGTCAGACCAGGTAAGGATCGTCGCTTCCACCCCTAAAGGGAGAAACAGATAGGTTTTTCCAACAATGAACAATGGATTGTTGGTCATCATTAGACTCTTAATATCAAATATTTATTGAATTCGAATTCCACCATCTGCTGTGGCAGAATTCAAATCCGGGTCCCCAGAACATTACCTGGATCGCTGGATAATGCCAGTAGACCATTGCCTCCCAGATAGCAGGGGGGATGTACCAAAGTCCCTCTGATGGTCAGTACTTTCCATTCATAGTGTAATCCCTTGCCCTGTTATCTTTCCCAAAATGCATAACCTGACACATTTCTGCATCAAATTCTATTTGCCACTGCTCTGCCCATCTCACCAGTCCACTGATATGCTCCAGCAGTTTACAGCAATCCTTGTTATTTACCACCCCACCAATTTTCATGGCATCTGCAAACCTCTTGATCTTACCCTCTACATTTAACTCCAGTTCATTCACATACACCAGAACTAGTGCTGACACAGTGGGGCAAATGGCCTACTTCTACACCCATGCAATTCTATGACTCCACCTTTCTCACATGCTGTCTTTCATCTATTTGATATAGAATGGGACAAGGTTGTCGGCGGATTTGAACCTGGAGAGCTGGGAGGAATTAAAGGAGGTTTTGGAACATGCATCTGCTATTCTGATAACAAATGTGTTTGCCAAAAGGATGACATTGTTGGTATGTTAATTACTAGAAGCTTTTTCTTGGCATTTGACAGATGCAGATGTAAGGGATATATCTTCCAAGATTTCATGGAGGTGTTGTCGATCAGCCAGGGAGTTGGCAGTTTCTGGGCATGTTACCCAAATTTCCCAGTGGGTGTCACCAACCAGATTCCTGGCCCTTTTTTCAAAGAGGTGGCTTTGATGTTCATCTGAATCAGCCACCTTTCTTTGTGAAAGCATGGTTGATACAAGATCTTAGATTGTTTATCAGTGGTTGATCCTGTCCTGACACACCCTCACTATAAAGTAATATTGATCATTCATTCAGGAGGATCTTGTTGGAGGTGTACATTGCCTTTAAGAGTGTTCACCTTTAAGGTCTCCATGTACGTGGCGAATGCAATGTTGTGACTCCATCTGACAATTAGTCTGCTACAGGTTTGCAAGCTGCACTTGTGGAGAATCCAGTTCGTTGCTGTAATGTTGACTTAATAACTTGTAATGTACTTTACTGTTATAAATAAACAAACCCATGGAATTAATCAATTGCTGATGAGTGATTGATCATTAGGCCATTATCATTAACATGACAAACCTGAAGTGAAAAAGTCAACTATTTAATGTCTTAGATTGAAAAATGGCACACCCAACAATCCAGTGCTCTCTGAGTATTGTATTCTATGTTCCCTGTCACTGGTTTTACGGCTGTGTGGACCTCTGAGTTCTGTGGGTGGCAACAGCTTCTGGAACTGCACACCAATGCATCAACATGCTGATTAACATGGAGTCAGAGAGATGTAAGCACAAAAACAGACCCCTCAATCCAACTCATCCATATTAACCAGATATCCCAAATTAATCTGGTCCCATTCGCCAGCATTTGGCCCATATCCCTCTTAAACCCTTCCTAATCATGTACCCGTCCAGATGCCTTTTAAACGGTGTAATTGTACCATCCTCCACCATTCCTCTGACAGTTCATTCCATACATGTACCACCCTTTGCATGAAAAAGTTGCCCCTTAGGTCCCTCTCAAATCTTTTCCCTTCTCACCTTAAACCTCTGCCCCTTAGTTTTGGACTCCCCTACCCTGGGGAACAGACCTTGACTATTCACCCTATCCATGCCCCTCATGATTTTATAAAACTCTGTAATGCCACCCTTCCACACATGAGGAACCTCTGCGCAGCTGTGAGGCCACACAGCTTAGAGAAAAACACAGCAGGTCTGGCAGCATCGATGGAGAGAAAGCAAAGTTAACATTTCAGTTCCGGTGACCCTTCTTCATAATTTTGATTCTCTAGTTTTCAGCTTAGAGAGAACATTGACTGAGCGGTCAGCTGGCTCTCAATTTGTTATAGGCCATTTTATCTCAATGGCTTTGGCAGAGATCCTAGGGTGATAGAATGTGCTCCTTCAGGGGTTAAATAATTATCAGTAGAAATAATTTAAGTTCGTATAATATATAAAAGCTTGTACACACGTACGAATAGATTCAATAACAGCTTCTTCCCTGCTCTTTTTAGACTTTTGAATGGATGTCTCAAATTTTAAATTTAATGTTGACCTCACCCTTTATGCACCTTCTCTGCAGCCGTAATATTGTATTCCTCGCTCTGTTCAATCACCCTAATGCACTCTGTATGGCATGATCTGCCTGTACTGCACGCAAAGCAAAACTTTTCACTGTACCTAGGTACATGTGACAATAACACATCAAATCATCTCCAAAATGTGGCTTGCCTCGGTATTGAGCCACGGTAAAGTGGGTTTCTGCTTGGTAGAAAGGTGACGGTGTTGTCTGTTCTGTTCCATCCACAGAGCTGGTTTGCGATGATCTGTGTAAAACCATAATTGCAGCAGCAGTGCTGCTGTCCTTCATCCTGTCTGTGCTGCTCTCTTCCTATTTCATCCACCGCTACCACAAGAACACTCCCAAGCCTCCCATTGCCTCAGCTGAAATGACCTTCAGGAGGCCTGCTCAGGCTTATCCCATCAGCTACTCCTCGAACAACATTCGGAGACCTTCCATGGACTCGGTGGAAAATCAAGTGGCAGTGGATTCTTTCAAGATACCAGTGAGTGTCACTTGCGCTGTGGCCTTCTAAGGATTGGTTTTGTGAGCAGAGTTTGGGCAAAATTTCATTCTTTACAATTTGATCATTAATAACAATCCTTTTTTTTAATGATGAATGATTTATTTTTTGTCTCTTGCGTTTTTAAGTGAATAATACAGTGAAATATGAATAATGTGAAATACAGTGAAAAGCTTCAACAGTCGCCACACTCCAGTGCCATTTTAAATAGTTTAAGAATAAAAAGGAGCGGGCCCCTTACTTGGAGCATCTGGCTCAGAGGAAGGACTTCCCAACATGCCACGAAACCTCCTATGATTTATATAATGCTTGTCATTTCTATACAAACCATCATTTCCGTATAGGAGATAAGACAGTATGGAGCAGTATGGTCAGGACCCGAAACGTCAACTTTCCTGTTCCTCTGATGCTGCCTGGCCTGCTGTGTTCCTCCAGCTCCACACTGTGTTATCTCAGACTCCAGCATCGGCAGTTCTTGCTATCTCTGATTTCTGTATAGGAGATCATTTCAACACAGACATCACTTTCAGAGACAAAAAGGATTTACTTAAGAATGAATTGTTCATATAAGGAGCAAGGTTACCATTAGCTCCACTCTTTGATTAGAGAGAGGTGACTGGTGGTGGGTTAACAGCGAGGGTCACCGCACCTCAGTCGAGGAGACAGATTGAAAAGGAGGGCCGTTCAAGGTAACCTCCGTCAGTGTTGTTGGTGTCACTGCATCACAAACCAACTGTCCAGCCAAATAGGCTAACGGACCCCTCCATAAGTGATGAAGTGATGCTTATGCCAATTGTTTTTTAAAATTAAAGCACCTAAGTATTGTGTTTGGGCTGTCAGGCTCTACTACACCTTCTCAATTGCTCCCCCGTTTCTAAAGTTTGCAATGGGTCTGTGTCCTTTTTACCCTGACAGGAGGATCCCAAGTGGGAATTCCCGAGGAAGAACCTGGTCCTGGGTAAGACCCTTGGGGAAGGAGAATTTGGGAAAGTGGTGAAGGCAACAGCATTCAGGCTCAAGGGCAAAGCTGGATACACCACTGTGGCAGTCAAGATGCTGAAAGGTACGGCCAGATGTCTTCAACGTGCAACTGTGACATGCAAGTGTTGCTAACATCCGTGTGGTCTAGCAGCCGGTGATTCTTACTTTAAGATTTAAGACAGGGTTCTACTGCGAGGGAGCCTTGACAGAATTGAAACTGCTCTGATTCCAAGCACCTGTGCCCCAACTTTAACCTTATTTAGTAAACTCACCTACAGACGTGGGGTCAGCACATTCAACATCCTGACAAACAGCATCCTCAACTCTTGAGCGTGTATTCGCACATCTCCAGCACATTTCTTTGGAAAGGTCAGCAGGCTAAGTATCTTGAAGCATATACCAATACAGTGCAGAAGGAGGCCATTCAGCCCAACATATCTCTTTGAAAGAGCAGTCAAACTAGTCCTAGTTCTCGCCTCATAACCCTGTAACTATTTTCCTCTGCAAATAGCTATCCAACTATTCAACATTACTGTTGAATCTGATCCCCAAAAAGTTGTGGAGTGCAGATCATAATATTTTTCTGCTTAAAAACCTATTTTCCTCATCTCACCTCTCCTCATGTGCAGTGAGTTTGAGAGATGAAGGGTCAAAGTTTACCCAGGGTTGGGACAATGGCACTGGGGTAGCTGGCAGCATTGGGACTGGCTGGATAATGTTAACAAAGGCAGCCTACTGAGGAAGAGGGCGTGTTGTCCAGTCAACAATGGTGTGCAGACTCCAGGTCCAGTCAGACAGCCAGTACATCATCTCTATGGCGCCAGTGGGAGAGGTGAGCACTGCTGGAGCAGGTCAAAGACCCCAAGGGAATCTCCTCAATGGGTAGTGTTAGATGTGGAGTGTGGGGGCTGTCAATGATATTGGGTGGGCTACCTTCCCTCCACACAGTCCCCTACTTGGGTTGCAAATGGCTTCCTGAGCTGCCACAGGGAGGCTAAACACATGGGAGAGCTGGCTGCCTGCCCATGCAATGGGAATCTGGTCCTCCATCAGTGAAGTGCCAGCATCTGTGCTTAATGCTCTCCTACTTGGGTCTATGTTATAATAAACTGGCTCTTGCCCACCTCTGGAGCAGGATGTCAAACCTCACCACAGGCCAGTGTCGGGAACAATACTGACCCGATCCTCGGCTTTTTTATTGACCACTCCCACCAACTGATGGCTAGTAAAATTCAGCCTGAATTTCCTTCTGCCTGACTTTCATCCTAGATCAGAAACTGGGGAGTAAAAGGGTGAAGAGCATCGATGGTACTTTAGCCTGGGGGAAGAGGGAAAGAAATCCCAATTTCCAAAGAATTCCTCACTCTATTTTTTTAGGTACTATATCCTGAAGGGGCAGTGGTAACTAGAGATTTCTGAGTCAACCCATGGTAGTGCTGAGCAAGGTCTTGTGATGGGTTGAACTGACTGATCAAGTGTTCCTCCCATTCGTCACTGGTGTAGGTTAGTGGGATTCACAAACTGACAATCAACCTGTCTGGCCACATTACAAACACTCCTTCCTTGGCCAAAAAGTTCTCAGAGTGGATCTCGAACCTAAAGCTTCTGGTTCAGAGGCAGGGACATTACCCATTGTGCCACAATTCTTGTCCACATGATACTTTTTTTTATTCTGCTTTGTTTAGATGTTTGTGAAGCACTTCAGCTTTTCTTGTTGCATAAAGTTGAGTTGCTGTTTCTATAATACACAGTGGCTGTCTCTGCATTAAATTTACCTTCTGTTTTGGTATCTGGCAGAAAACGCGTCTCAGAGTGAGCTACGGGACCTCTTATCTGAGTTCAATCTGCTGAAACAAGTCAGTCACCCCCATATTATCAAGCTGTATGGAGCCTGCTGCCAAGATGGTAAGAGAACATTATGCAAGGGGTGATTTTAGTGACAACTTAATTTACATCAGTGTATTGAATTATTTTAGTTTCACAAAGGCATTAACCCTTTATTTTAATTTCACAAAGGTACTAACCCATTTATCTTAAAGGCCAAGATGGATTAGATGCGGGGAAAATATTTTGGGTGAGACTGTGAATAATAAATCGCTAATAAATCCAGGAGAGAGGACAGGAGCTCCTTCTTTAATCCGAGAGTGGCTAGAATGTGAATTAGCAATGAAAGGGCAATTTGAGACCAACCGCATCAATGCATTGAAGGTGAAACTAAATAAGCACATGAATGAGAAAGGAATTTCTCTTTCCTTCATGGGAGGTGTTAACATCCTGAATTGTCCTTGAATGTATTGACTTTCTCAAAGTATTTTGGACAGCGCTTAAGAGTAACCCGCATTGCTAGCAGGTCTAGAGTCACATGAAGGTCAGTTTGGGTAAGGATGACAGATTGCTTTCCCTAAAAGGCACCGGTGAACCTGGTGGGTTTTGAACATTGATTGTTGTAATCATTGTTACTGAGGTTAATTTATGTTCCCAGTTTTAGGGGGTGCTTGTGGTGCAGTGGTAGTGTCCCTCCCTCTGAGCTAAGTAGGCTACGGTTCGAGTCCATCTGCTCCATCTGTGTGTCATAGATGTTGATTTAAAACAAAATCCATATTGCCAATTTAGCTGAATTTAAATTTCACCAGCTACCATGGTGGGATTTGAACTCACATCTGGGCCACTGGATTACTAGTCCCATGATATTACCACTATGCTATTTAGTCTCTAGTGTTAAACAATACTGTTGGGGGTTCAGATAAAGAAGGACATTCAATGTGGAGCATAATCACTAACAGGGACCTGTGGGAAATGGCCTTTCTATGCCGTAAATATTTAGCAACTATGACTTCATTACCCATTGGCAATGGTCCAATTAATGAGTGTACCAAGGGCAGGAATTCTCTTTAGGTTTCATTCCCTGCTGCCTCTTCATAAATTCTCATCTAGAAATGAATGGGTAGCAGGGCGAGAGAAATAGAATTAGTCCATCCAGGAATGGAGAGGTTTATTCAAACACAATGCAAATAACAGCAAATACATTCATAGCATCCCTGGGCAATACACTGTCTTCTGCATGGCTAGTTAGTAATGCTAGCTATATTTTCATAGACTAGCTGCCCAGTCCCACCTCTAGGTAGTTTATCCTCCCTGTTACATACAAAGTAATGCGCAATGCCGAGGGAAATGGATAAATTGGATCACCTACTGGAATTTATTGCTATGTTACAGATGTCTAACTGTCAGCTGTGTAATAAACTTTGCTTTTGCTTTCAATATCAATTAAGCTACACTGTATCTGCAGATTAAAGTAAGTAAGTTGATGACAACCTACTGCTGTGTACAAGGACTGGATCAATAGGAGTAGATGAAATGGGAATTCTTAACAGCAAGCGAGTTCCTTGATAGTATTTCCTTCTATTTTTTAAATGCTTATTGTCAGGAAATTGGAGCTGCTTCCAAACCCTCATTAAGTCCAGTTTCCAAAGGACAGTCGGGTTCTTTTAGATTCCTTCACCACCATTTCCAATGGGTTTTCAGCAGACGTGGACTCATCTGCCTGTTGGCAGTTGGTTGAGATTGAATCGAAACAAAGCAAGATTGAGATAGAACCAATGCAGTCCACTCCATGTTGGAGAGACTAAATGCAGATTAGAACAGATGAGAATTCCTACAGTGTGAAAGCAGGCTATTCAGCCCATTGAGTCCACACTGTGCCTCCAAAGGGCATCCTACCCAAACCAATGCCCCCCTCCAAGCCCCCCAGCCCATCTCTGTTACCCTATATTTCCCATGGCTAATCCACCTAGCCTGCACATCTCTGAGAAGCTATGGGCAATTTAGCATGCCTATCCACCTAAACTGCACATCTTTGGAGTGTGGGATGAAACCCATGCAGACATGGGGAGAATGTGCAAACTCCACACAGACAGTTGCCCGAGGCAGGAATCAAACCCAGGTCCCCGGCGCTGTGAGGCAGCAGTGCTAACCACTGAGCCACCGTGCCACCCACTTTCCAACCTGTTGTGTATCCAATGAGATTTAAGTGCATTGAAAAACAGCTCAACTTGAGTTACAGTGCCTGTACAAAGGGGACATATAGATTTGAACTTCGAAACTCTCAGTCTGCAGTCAAATGCTCTATCACTGAGCTATAACTTGTGGTAAAAACTCCACTCGATCTGCAGGCATGAACTTGACCTTCTGATATCTTGCCATTTCAATACACCATCTTACTCTCACACTCATATTTCTGTCCTGGGCCTCTTGCGGTCTTTTAACGAAGCCCAATGGCATCTGGAGGAACAGCATCTCATCTTCTGATTAGCTACATTGTGATCTTCAAGACTCAACCCTGAGTTCCACAACTTCAGATCATTAAATTTGCTCTTTGTTTTATTTTCCAGTGTCTGTAACTTGTTTTTATACTTTTGCTTTCAGTCAGAACTGACCCTCATTCGTCTATTAACACTCAACTGGACCAATTCTTTGTCTCCTCCCCACAACTACTCCCTTTGCCTTTTTCTATGACATCTTTGATTTCTAATCTCTGATTCGCTACCTTTTCCCTGACCTCCCCTTTGTTTCCACTTACCTTTATCCCCTCTGTCAACAGTATAAAGCCTATCACTTTTCCACCTCTTCAGTTCTGATGAAGAGTTGTACTAGACTCCAAACGATAACTCTGTCTCTCTCTCCACAGTTGCTACCAGAGCTGCTGAGTTTCTCTGGAACTTTCTGTTTTTATTGCAGAGCCAGGTTTGCCCAAATCAATGGCTTATACAAGTATGACAAGAAGTTTTACCTATGTTTGGGGCAATTCTGAAATTAAATGGATTCTCACTCTGTGATTTACTTTATTGTATAAGGTGTTTGACCTCAAAGGGTTAACATGCAAGCTTTGGAATAGTCCCAAGCACTGAGATTTATAATAACTGTTCCTGGGGTGGAGCTTGTCAGTTCATTGTTAATTCTATCGTCTACACTATTGTAGCAGAGACCTACTACTATCTCTTAAGAAATGATGTGGAGGTGCCGGTGTTGGACTGGGGTGGATAAGGTCAGAAATCACACGATGCCAGGTTATAGTCCAACAGGTTTATTTGAAAACACAAGCTTTCTGAGCACTGCTCCTTCACCTAACGAAGGGGCTACTCTCCAAAAGTTTCTGTTTTGAAATAAATCTGTGGGACTATAACCTGGTGTCATGTGATCTCTCAAGAGATAACATTCTCTCTTATCTAGTGATAATAAAGTTAACTAGTCTTAAGCTAATGTACCTTGTTATCTTATAATTATGTAATAAAGTCATAGAGTCATAGAGACATACAGCACAGAAACAGACCCCTCAGTCCAAAGTCACACAAATTTGACTGAGTTTTTTTGAGGAATTAACCAAGAAGATTGATGAGGGGACAGTGGTGGACATTGTTTACTTGGACTTTAGTAAAGCCTTTGACAACGTTCTGCATGGTGGGATAATAAGTAAAGTTAGATCACATGGGATTCAGGGTGAACTTGCCAATTGGATACATAATTAGCAGGAAACAGAGGGTGGTGGTGGAGGGGTTGTTTTTTGGACTGGAGGCCTGTGACCAACAGTGTTCCACACAGAATGGTGTTGGGTCCACTTTTGTTTGTCATTTATATAAACAATTTGGATGAGTATACAGAAGGCGTGGCTAGTAAGTTTGCCGATGACAGCAAAATTGGTGGTATAGTGGACAGTGAAGAAGGATATCTAAGATTACAGACAGATCTTGATCAATTGGATCAATGGGCTGAGGAAAGTCCTTCTTGTTACACACATATATATCCTTCATTAGTTAATATGAGTTAGCCCTATAGACTGGTGTTGCAAGAAATGTTGTTCGCAGAAAATGAACCTCAAAGAAGATCCTATTGTAAGCATGTGCCAGCCTTGGACAATTCTTACAATGAAAACTGAACTTAGCTACAAGATTTTGCTGCATTTGGATTCAGGTTTCAGATTAAACAGTGTTGTAAGTGGCTGAGGCAGGAAATGCAGCAAAAGATCCAAAGCAATGTTCTCTGGAGGCTGGAGCAAGTGCTCAATCCCTTGCGATGAATCCATTCTGTGTTTTGTGGAAACTGCTAGATCTCAACCGGATTAAATCCAGTGCGGTGTTTTAGGGACACTGCAGTTATGTAGACCTTGTTGCAGAAGAAAGTCTCTTTGGCTTAATTCTATTGGAAGTAATGGAATCCTTAAATCTGAAATGAAAACAGAAAGTGCTTCAAATGCTCAACAAGTCTGGTAGCATGGGTGGAAAGAGAAATAGAGTTAATGTTTCATCCTGACAATGTTGAGATACCTTCTCTCCATGAACTGCAAGAAGGCAACTCACTACCACCTTCTTAAGGGCAGTTAGGGATGAGCAATAAGTGCTGGCTGAGCCAGTGACACCTACATAGTGTGGATGAATAAAAATCCTCAAGGTTAAAATGTGATCTGTCCTGGTGTTTACGTTTATGTTCCTCCCAACAGCTCTTTAAAACAGTTGATCAGCATAACCTATTTCTTTCCCCACATGTGTCTATCAGCTTTTACCTTATACCCAACGATTATATTCACCTCAGCTGCTCCTTTTGGTCATGAGCTCCATATCTGTACCTCTCTCTGGAATTTCTCTGGAATTCCTGGTTGGATTTATTTAATGACTATCTGTTATTTGTGAACCTTAGTTTTGGACTCCCTGCCCGACCTACAAAGGAGAAGGCAGAAACATTTTCTCTGTACTTACCCTATCAAATCCGTTTGTAATTTTATGTACTCTATCACGTTCCTCTCTCAAACTTCTCTTTTTCCTGGAGAATGTAGCCATGGGCCTGCTGGGTCTTTCTGTCCAAACGGTGTCAGCTCCTGAAGGGATTAAATCCATTTCTGTTTCCCTTTGCTCCTTCGTGATCCGAAACAGAATAACGTTATTGGTAAATGGGGGAGTTGTATTGTGTACGGCGTGTAGATTAGAAGAGTTTCCTTGGCAAAACTTTGCACCTTTCTTTGGCAGGGCCTTTGTATCTCATCGTGGAATATGCCAAATACGGATCTCTGAGGAGCTTCCTAAGGGAAAGTCGCAAGGTCGGCCCTAGTTACTTGGGTGAAGGCAATCGAAATTCCAGTTACTTGGATAATCCGGATGAGCGAGCCCTCACCATGGGAGACTTGATATCCTTTGCCTGGCAGATCTCCCGTGGCATGCAGTACCTGGCTGAAATGAAGGTGATCTTTTACTTTGGGCATCTGTTGTTGAAGGTCTTACTGTCTTAGAGTCATAGAGATGGAAACAGACCCTTCAGTCTAACTTGTCCATGCCGACCAGATATCCTAAATTAATCTCGTCCCATTGGCCAGCATTTGGCCCATATCCCTCTAAACTCTCCCTATTCATGCACCCATCCAGATGCCTTTCAAATTTTGTAATTGTACCGGCCTCCACCACTTCCTCTGGCAGTTCATTCCATACATGCAGTACCCTCTGCGTGAAAAAGTTGTCCCTTAGGTCTCTTTTAAATCTTTCACCTCTCTCACCTTAAACTTATGCCCTCTAGTTTTAGACTCCCCCACCCTGGGGAAAAGACCTTGTCTATTCACCCTATCCATGCCTCTCATGATTTTATAAACCTCTATAAGGTTACCCCTCAGCCTCCGACGCTCCAGGGAAAATCGCCCCAGCCTATTCAGCCTCTCCCTATAGCTCAAACCCTCCAACCCCGGAAACATTCTTATATATCTTTTCTAAACCTTTCAAGTTTCACAACATCTTTCCTATAGAAAGGAGACCAGAATTGAACACAGAATTCCAAAAATGGCCTAACCGATGTCCTGTACAGCCACATCATGACATTCCCAACATTTAAGCTCAATGCACTGACCATTAAAGACAAGTTTATTGCCTTGATTTACCCTACCAAAATATAAGCCTCACATTTATCTAGATTAAAGCCCAACTCATACCCCTCAGCCCATCTGATCAAGGTCCTGTTGCACTCTGAGGTAACCTTCTTCGCTGTCCACTACATCACCGATTTACTGTCATCTGCAAATTTATTAACCATACCCCCTATATTCACATCCAAATCATTTATATAAAAGACAAAAAGCACTGGATCCAGCACTGATACCTGTGGCACATCGCTGGTCACAGGCCTCCAGTCTGAAAAGCGATCTTCCACCATCACCCTCTGTCTCCTCCCTCTGAACCAATTGTGTATCCAAATGGCTGGTTCTCCCTGTATTGGGTAACTCAAGCTTATGGGGCACTTTGAGGAAATGAGCAGTGGGTTTATACCTTAAATCTTACCTGTCAATCACTCCACATGGGGATGGGTGGTTGCTCTTTCTGAATCCAAATGTGCTGGGTTTGAATCCCACTCCAGACAGTCCAGTAAAATGATGGTCAGAGCTTTGGCTGTGCATTCTCAAATGGCTATCCAGTGACACATTTACATTTGGTGGGTTTAGGTGGTACTGCCATATTGTATGGGTTCTGTGAGAGCTTCTTGTGTAAGACTAACCCATCCCCTCATCAGCCAGCACAAAGATGTTTATCAGGAACAAAAACAGAAGTTGCTGGAAAAGCTCAGCAGGTCTGGCAGCATCTGTGAAGAAAAAATCGGAGTTAACGCTTCGGGTCTGGTGACCCTTCCTCAGACCCTTCTGTAGAAGAGCCACCGGACCTGAAATGTTAACTCTGTTTTTTCCCTTCACAGATGCTGCCAGACCTGCTGAGCTTTTCCAGCAACTTCTGTTTTGTTCCTGATTTACAGCATCCGCAGTCCTTTCGGTTTTCATAAAGATGTTTATGTTCACGGAACAAGTACTCAGCATGAATCAGCCTGTGGAGACTCTCCCAACACACGCTGTGTTGTTTGGCTTTGTCCAAGCTGTAAGTGATTTCATCATCTCTTCCGGGCCCCCTCAAGACTGAAGAGTCCAACACGAGATTGATGGATACGCACAGAACCAGGTACTCATGTTGTGGTTGTTGGCAGTTTGGGCAGGGGGGAAGCTTCAGTTGCTGTCTTCAGGCACATTGGATGCGATAAGTTTTTGTGTCAATGTTCATGGAGCAACGCTGAAGCAGGTTCTAGCACTTGTCTCCAATGGGCTGGTTGGTGACTCTCTTTTTCTATGAGCGGTATCTGCAATGCAAAAGTTTGTAAGGCCCTTTTCTCGGGTGCCCATGTAAAATTAACCCTTGGCCATTTGCCGGGTCAGTTCTCCATTGAAGGGCGAATAAAACCAAATACTGTAGATGCTAGAACTTTGAGATAACAACAGAGAGTGCTGGAGACACTCTGTGGAGAGAGCAACAGATTTAACATTGACTCCTGTATGACACTTCTTCGAAACTAGTTCTTCAGTTCTGAAGAAGAGCCATAATGGACTTGAACCAATAACTCTTATTCTGTCGCCACAGATGCGTCCAGGACCTGCTGACTTTCTCCAGAACCTTCTGATTCTACCTATAGAAGGATGTCTCATTTTCCTATATTCTGCCATCACAGCTAGACTGGACTTATTTCTCTCTTGTACAACCATCACCATTTCCTTTGCCTTTTGTATTGTGATATCTGTGCTCTCTCCTCTCTGTTGCCCTCTAAACTTCTCCTCACCTTCTCTTCTGTTCCACTTGCACCTTCCATCCTTTTCTACGGAACAAAACCAGTTCCTTTTCCATCTCTATCTTCAGTTCTAAAGAGGAGTCGTATTAGATTTAGAATGTTGACTCTGTTTCTCTCCACAGATGCTGCCATACCTGCTAAGTTTCTCTAACATTTTCTGTTTTTATTACCTGTGAAAAGGATATTCTACAGTGTTCCATGCAGGAGACATGGCCTGGCCAGCTAAGTAGTAAATTTCACCTTTTGGACAGGAATCACACTATTCTCCAAAGGAAGAACCAAATGATCTTCTCACTGACTAAATAAATTTGACCATTGTTTATGTAGTTAGATCAGCTGTGAGTTGCATACACATTGGCAATCTGACTGGAATGGTCAGTGAATGACCTGAATTATAACAAATTAAATTCTCTCTGTCCACCCAGCAAAGAATGACCATTACATACTGTACTGCCTTGAGGTTGCAGTCAGAGCTGTTAGACATTTGTCCCCTCATGGTTTCATATGGTACATGCACTCATTTAGCAGCCTTCATCGATGTGTTTTCTTCCCAGCTGGTCCATCGTGATCTGGCAGCACGGAATGTTCTAGTCGCCGAGGGACGTAAGATGAAGATCTCCGATTTTGGGCTCTCCAGGGATGTGTACGAGGAGGACTCTTATGTAAAAAGAAGCAAGGTATTGTCTCTTCATTTGTTATCTGTCATCTGCAAACCCCACCTCAGTACATTATTTGTAACTTCATAACACTTGTAGGTATAACCAGGTTCCTTTTTGATTGGCATTGGAATACAGCCAACACTGTGTTCATCACCCATCGCTTTGAGGAGGCCAATTCATGAGAAGGTGGTGGTAGCTCATGTAATTTTACCCCTCTAGTGGGTGAGGTGATATTACCCCTCTAGTGGGTGAGGTGATATTACCCCTCTAGTGGGTGAGGTCAAGTTTTCTGTGTACATAACTAGAAGAGAAATGATGCGGTGTATCATGTGACTCAGGTTTCATGTCCATTCGCTGTGAGCAAGCTACCAAATCAGACATTCATCTTCTCCAACCGTATAACAGTATGATCAACTTCTTAGATCCTGAATAAACAAACCTAGGTATTTTTGTGCCACCTAATCCCTTTGCATGGTTGATGCCTTGACATTTTTCTAAAAAGAAATCACAAGGAGTAGAAAAATACAGTACATTAGTCTGCTGTGTTGTATTTGGGGTTGGGGGAGAGCTCCAGCAATTTGTTTGACTACTTCTGAGGGCATGAAAGAGACTATCCTCTCCAATGCCACCTTGAGGTATCTATAAGCTGAGCAAGGAACTTGCTGACAAAGTGTTCGCTAAAGCGGTTGAATTGTGACAATAGCTTCTGATGAAAGCCAACACACTGCCACCTGCATTGAATTCAATTTTAAAACTTGCCACTGTGGATGTGGACTCCCAGCCTCTGAGTTGCATGCAGTATAATGACCATTAGAGCCTTTAGTAGGAGTCTGGTGTGCGAATAGCTGAAAGCTAGAAAGTGGATGGTCTCCTTGCTACACTACATATTGTCCCCTCCCTGTTGGTAGAGTAGGCAGCATGGCCACTGACTCACTCCAAATATCCGACAAATGATTTCTTTCTTTTACTTTGACCTGTCTTTAGGGTCGGATTCCCGTCAAATGGATGGCAATTGAGTCTTTGTTTGATCACATCTACACCTCGCAAAGTGATGTGTAAGTCTTCCTTGTCTGTATTAGAATCGGGAGCCTAGGTTATCTGCCATTGATGTTGAATTTTACTGTTGTAATTGACACGTGTATGCTTACATTATTGATAGGCCAGAGAAAAGGAAAATTAGTGACATATCCTTCCAAACCAGTGGCCACTACTATCTAGAAGGACATGGGTAGCAGATGCATGGGAACATTTAGGTTTCCCTCCAAGATACTTACACCATCCTGACATGGAACTCTTATATTATTTGCACACATCTCAGAAATGCATTACACCTTTAAAGACAGGAAGATGACATGTTGTATATTACTCTGTACAGTCAGCCAGTCTTTTAGTCAGTCAGTGAAACTAACTGTGTATGTCATGTAATATTAATCTAAATAAGTATGCAACCCTGTCTGCATATGTAAGTCTGAGATGTCAAATTAGTATGCCTAGTTAATTGTTCTTAAGCTTTGAGATTTAACGTACAGTTTTTATTAAGAACCAAGCTCTCAATGGTATATGCTAGGTGGGGTAATATGTAGAAAAGTACATTAGATGAGGAAGCATGGTGGCTCAGTGGTTAGCACTGCTGCCTCACAGCACCAGGGACCCGGGTTCGATCCCATCCTTGGATGACTGTCTGTGTGGAGTTTGCACATTCTCCCTGTGGGTTGTGTGGGTTTCCTCCAGGTGCTTCGGTTTCCTCCCACAGTCCAAAGATGTACAGGTTAGGGGGATTGGCCATGCTAAATTGCTCATATTTTCCAGGGATGCAGGCTAAGTGGGTTAGCCATGGGAAATGTGAGGTTACAGGGATAGAGTGGGTTACTCTTCGGAGGGTCACTTCAGACTCGATGGGCTGAATGGCCTCTTCCTGCCCTGTAGGGATTCTACGGTCAGGAACCATATCACCGTCACTGGATCAAAATCCTGGAAATGCCCCCCTAACAGTCCTGTGAGTGTACCTGCCCCCACACAGACTGTTGTGGTTCAAGAAGGTGGTGCAGCACCATCTTCTCAAGGGCAATTAGGGATGGGCAATCAATGGTCCATATCCTGAGTCAGATTTAAAAATTGCAGCATTTATAGAGGTAGACAGGAACCGCCAGGAAACATGGCCATCGGATGTGGTTATACCTGTGACCTTGCGCCTTTACTGAATCTGAGCCTGTCATGCAAAGGCCAGACAGCTCTTAATCAAAAAATCAATGCACTTTAGAAGCCTTGCAAACCACAAACTGTCTTTGCTGTACCTTAAGGTAAGGAAAAGCAGATAGACTTTAATGTCAATTTGCTACAAAGACTGGTTCCAAGATAGCCTTCTGCCAAAGAGACATTAAAAGGAAAGTGTTGAGATTGGGAAGGACAGAATATACGGAGAGATCGGAGTGGGGCAAATAGAAGTAAAGCACAAAGCGCCAGTCAAAACATGGGGAAAAGATTCATTCCAAATACCAAACGTGGTCAGCACTTTGAAAGTAAATCTCAGGAGCTGCTAACAATCGTAATTTCATGTATTTCGTCCTTATTTACAGTTATTTATAATACATGGTGCATTGCTCCTGGATGTGAGTTCAAGTACCACACTTTAAGTTTGCACAAGGGTGTGCAGTGTTCCACTTAGTGGTGCCGTTTGTCACAAACAGATTTGAAGAGATGATAGCAATTGTGCCCTCAGATCCCATTCCCCTGCATTACTTTCAAATCTTCCTTTTTAAATGGTTGTATCGGTGGGCCAATATCCACGTGAACTAGAAATTCTGACTAATTCAGCACAAAAACTAAGGATCAATCTCAAACCGTGCACCTGAGTCAGATGCGGCCTTAGCCAATTAAGACATTGGGCCAAATCTTGGAAGGTCATACTTGCTAACGGTAGGTACTGACACACCTTTGCTTTTTCCTGCTCCATCCAGGTGGTCCTTTGGCATTCTCCTTTGGGAAATCGTGACACTGGGTGGAAATCCATACCCTGGAATTGCCCCGGAACGCCTCTTCAATCTCCTGAAAACTGGATACCGGATGGAGAGACCGGAAAACTGCAGTGAGGAAATGTACGACGATGAATATTAAAACCACGTGGCACTGGCTGTAATTTCTCAATAAGCATTTTAGTGGAAATCTTCACGTGACAGAGTGGGAGTCAGGGTAGGGAGGCACATACAGGCTGGGGGGCGCTGGCACAGGTTGAAGGGGTCCTATGGTCAATGTGGGGTGGGGAGGTATTTGTGGGGGTGGGGAGGTGAGTGTGTCGGGGTGGGGAGGTGTGTATGCGTGTGTGTGGGGTGGGTGTTGGGGTGGGTAGGTGTGTGGGAGGGTGGGGAGGTGTGTATGGGGTGGGGAGGTGTGTGGGAGGGTGGGGAGGTGTGTGGGAGGGTGGGGAGGTGTGTTGGAGGGTGGGGAGGTGTGTGTGGGGGTGGGGAGGTTTGTGTGGGAGTGGGGAGGTGTGTGTGGGGCTGGTAAGGAGTGTGTGGGAGTAGGGAGATGTGTGAGGTGTGGGAAGGTGTGTGTGAGATGTGTGGAGGTGTGTGGGAGGGTGGGGACGTGTGTGTGATTTGGGAGGTGTGTGTGAGATGTGGGGAGGTGTGTGTGAGGTGTGTGGAGGTGTGTGTGATTTGGGGGAGGTGTGTGTGAGGTGTGGGGAGGTGTGTGTCAGGTTGGGAAGTGTGGGGAGGTGTGTGTGAGGTGTGGGGAGGTGTGTGTGAGAGGTGGGTGATGTGTGTAGGTTGGATAGTCTGCTCCTTTGTCTGAAATGGACACTGTTGTCATCTAATGTAATTCTCTCCCTCTCTCGGGTACAGTTAGTGTTGCAAATGTGCTGTAATTCTCCCTCAGGTACAACTTGATGCTGCGATGTTGGAAACAGGAGCCAGACAAACGGCCTACGTTCACAGAAATCAGCAAAGAGCTGGAGAAAATGATGGTGAAGAGTCGGGTGAGTGCAATGTTCTACTGACTGAATCGCACCCCCCCAGCAATTCCAAACACTAATTTTATTCAAGACAAAAAAACCTGCAGATGCTGGAATCCAAGGTAGGCAAACAGGAGGCTGGAAGAACACAGCAAGCCAGGCAGCATCTGGAGGAAAGGAACAGTCAACGTTTCGGGTATTACCCTTCTTCAGGACTGGATGTGGGGGTAGGGGAAAGCGGTAGGTAAAGAGAGGGGAGAAGGGGTGGAGACAGAATGGTGGTGATAGGTGGACACTGGTGGTAGGTACGGCCTGGTTGGTCGATGGGAGGGATGAATCCAGTTGGTGGCTGGAAGGGAGGGTCGGTAGGTGGAATGGAAGGGAGGAGGTGGGGCTGGAAAGGGTGCCGGTGGAATGGGTGGTAAGGTCATTTGAAATTGGAGAACTCAATGTTGAGTCATTTGGGCTGTAGGATGCCCAGGCTGGAGTTAAGGTGTTGGTTCTCAAATTTACGTTCCGAGTCGCTGCAACACTGGAGGAGGCTGAGGACAGATGTGTCGGAGGGGGAGTGGGGTGGGCATTGAAATGGGTGGTGACCGGGAGGTTAGATTGGCCGTTTTGGGCCAGGCAAAGATGCTCAGCGAAACGGTCAGCTAGTCTACGTTTGGTCTCACTGACGTAGAGAAGACCACATCGGGTGAACCGGATGCAATAGACTAGGTTGGAGGAGATGCAGGTGAAGCTCTGTCTCACTTGGAAGGACTGTTTAGGGCCCTGGATGGAGGGTGAGGGAGATGGTGTGTGGGTAGGTGTTGCATCTTTTATGGTTACAGGGGAAGGTACCTGGCGGGTTGGAATGGTTGGTGGGGAGTGTGGTGTGAACTAAGGAATAGTGAAAGAAATGGTCCTTGTGGAAGGCAGAGAGGGGTGGTGGGAGTGGAAGATGTTCGAGATGGTGGGGTCTAATTGGCGTTGGTGGAAGTTTTTAAGGATGCAGAGGCTGGTGGGGTGGAAAGTGAGGACAAGGGGGAACCTATCTTTATTATGTTTGGAGGGAGGGGGTGGTTTAGAGCTGTGGAGTGGGGAATGGAGGAAGCGCCTTGGAGGGCTGTTTGGATGACAGAGGGTGGGGGGTAAAGAGTGATGTTTGAAAAAAGATGGACATCCGGGATGCTTGGGAATGGAACGTCTCCTCGTCAGAGCAGATTCAACAGAGACGGAGGAATCGGGAAAATGGGATGGAGTTTTTGCAGGATACAGGGTGTGAGGAGGTGTAGTCTAGCTAGCTATGGGAATCTGTGGGTTTATAGTAAATGTTGATCTGTAAATTGTTGCCAGAAATTGAAACGGAGAGGTGAAGAAAGAGTCAGGAGGTATCTGAGACAGACCAAGTAAATTTGAGGGCAGGGTGGAATTTGTTAGCGAAGTCGATGAACTGCTCCAGTTCAGTCTGGGTGCAGGATGCAGCACCAATGCAGTCATCGATGTAATGGGCGGAAGAGTTATATTCGACTGAAGCTTTGGACAAAGGGCAAAGTCATTGAAACCAGGATGTCAGGTAAAACCATGATCAAATAAGTCAGGAACCAATAATTAACTAACACCATAGGATTTTATCAAGGTTACTGCTCAGAAGGAGGACATTTGATCCAAAAACAAAGTTGCTGGAAAAGCTCAGCAGATCTGGCAGCATCTGTGAAAGAGAAAACAGAGTTAACGTTTCAGGTCCGGTGACCCTTCCTCAGAACATTTGATCCATCCTGCCTGGGCTAACTCTCTGCAAGGCCAGTCATCTAATGCCACTCCCTGCTCTATCCCCTTAGCCTTACAATCCTTCCCGTTCAGATCATTTCCTTTTGGACACCTCAGTGGAATTAGCCTCCACCACTTTCTCGGACAAAACATTCCATATTCTAACTGCTTGCTGTATAGAAAAGTTTATTCTCTTGTTGACATTTCTCCAGGTGACAGCCACCTTAATTTGGCGTCCCTTAGTTCTCAACCCTTCTGTCAATGGGAACACATCTCTGGGCTCCATCTCTGCCTATTCACTCACTGTTTTAAAAATAAAGAGATAAGCAAGAGGGAGTAACTCAAAGCAGTTACAAAAGAAATGTACTTAGAACTAGAGGGCGGCACGGTGGCACAGTAGCACAGTGGTTAGCACTGCTGCCTCACAGCGCCAGGGACCTGGGTTCGATTCCACCCTCGGGTGTGTGTGTGGAGTTTGCACATTCTCCCTGTGTCTGTGTGGATTTCCTCTGGGTGCTCCGGTTTCCTCCCACAGTCCAAAGATGTGCAGGCTAGGGTGGATTGGCTGTGCTAAATTGCCCGTAGTGTTCAGGGATGTGTAGATTAGGTGGGTTATAGCTGGGTGGGATGCTCTGAGGGTCAGTGCGGACTGGTTGGGCCGAAGGGGCAGTTTCCACACTGTAGGGATTCTATGATCTATGATCTATGAACATGTCTGTGGCTCAGACGGCTTGTTTCATTGGGTCTTAAAGGATACACCTGGTGAGACTTTCTTTCTCTTGTTCATGGATGTTGGCATTGCTGGCCAGACAAGCACTTGTTGCCCATCCCAAACTGCCCAGAGGATAGTTGGAGTCAAGCATGTTGCTATGTGTATAAAAAAATCAAAGAACTGCTCATGTTGGAAATCTGAAACAATAACAGAAATTGCTAGAGAAACTCAGCAGGTCTGGCAGCACCTGTGGAGAGAAAGCAGAATGAATATCTTGCATCCAGTGACCCTTCTTCAGAGCTGGTAGTAGCTAGGAAAAGTTGGTTCATGTGCTGAAGACAGAGGATAGGAGGGAAAGAGTGAGTGGATAGGCAGAGATGGAGGCCAGAGAGAGAGAGAGAACAACAGTTAGGTTGACAAAGGATGGATAATGGCGAGCCAGGGAAAAAGAAAAGCTGATCATGGAGACTGTAAGTAGGTGACAATGGGTTGGCTGTGCTGGTAGCAGCCCATGTCATGACAGGACCTGGGTGTGCGGGGGTTTGGTGGGTAAAGGACATGGAAGAAGATGTTCATTACTCTAAAATTATTGAACTTGATATTGAGTCTTGAAGGCTGCAAGGTCCCCTGACCAAAAGATGAGCTGCCATTCTCCCAGCTTGCACTGAGCCTCACTGGAGCAGTACAGCAAGCCTGAGACGGAGATGTTGGCCAGGGAACACGGTGGTGTGTTGAAGTGGCATTTGTGTGGACAGAATGTAGGTGTTCTGCAACCTGGTTGCCCAGTCTATGTTTTTGATCATTTCTGATCAGCTCATTGCTGTTGATCTGAAGTTATGTGTAGCCTAGACTGGGTAAGGGGAGCAATTAGCTTTCCAAGAAAGACACTAGTGAGTCAAGTGGGTTTTTTCCCGACAATTATTAGACTCTTAATTCCAGATCTTTTAAAAAAATTGAATTCAAATTCTGTCATATGTCATGATGGGTTTCAAACCCAAGTACCCAGAACATTGCCAGGGTCTCTGGATTAATAACCCAGCAATAACACCACTAGGCCATCACGACTCCTTAGGCACATGTAGACCAGACCAAATAAGTTCAGTAGATTTCCTTCTGTGAAGGATGTTGCACATTGGTTGTGACATTTCAAAATTCTTGGATTCTGGAAAAGTCCCAGTAACGTTCCCTTGAAGCAGCTCGGCTGCACACTCAGAAAGTCTGTGCATAGGATTGACACATACACTTTTAATTTCTCCAGCTGCTGTCACATTCGATCCTTTGAGATCCACATAGTACCTGCAGAAATTAGAGGGAGTGTAGGGTCACAGTAGATTGTAGAATCACAAATGTAACACCTTCATTCAAGACAGGAAGGAGACAGAAGGAAAAGAAACCATAGGTCAGTTAGCCTAACATCCATCACTGGGAATATGCTGAAATCCATGATTAAGGTGGTAATAGCAGGATATTGAGAAAATCATTACATTATCAGGCACAGTCAACATGGTTTTGTGAGAAAATGAATTTCTAAATTTATTAGAAGTAAGTCACAAGCAGGATGAATTCAAGGGAGGGTATAGATGTGGTGTATTTAGATTTCCAATACAGTTACCATGTGAAAGGTTGCTGAACAAAATAAAAGCTCATGATGTCAGCAGAGCACAGTAACATCGAAAGAGAATTGCTTTTTTCTATTTATTCACGGGATGTGAGTGTCGCTGGCTCAGCCAGCACTTATTATCCATCTCTAGTTCCCCTTCAAAAGGTGATGGTGAGATGCCTCCTTGAATCACTGCAGTCCATTTGTTTTGGGAACAGCCACAATGCTATTCAGCAGGGAGTTCCAGCATTTTGACCCAGTGACACTGTGAGAATGGTGATATATTTTCCAGTCAGGATGGTGAGTGGCTTGGAAGGGAACTTGTGGCTGGTGCTGTTCCCATGTATCTGCTGCCCTTATCCTTCTAGATGCTGATGGTAATGGGTTTGGAAGGTGCTGTGTGAGGATCTTTGGTGAATTTCTGCAGTGCACCTTGTAGATGGTACACACTGCTGCTACTGAGTGTTAGTGGTTCAGGGAGTGAGTGTTTGTGGATGTGGTGCCAATCAAACGGGGGCTGCTTTGTCCTGAATGGTGTCAAGCTTCTTGAATGTTGTTGGCAAGTGGGGCCTGTTCCATTACACTCCTGACTTGTGCCTTGTAGATGGTTGGATGGGTTTGGGGAATCGGGAGGTGAGTTACTCGTTGACTGTTCATATGAGGATTTCAAAAGGGAATCAGACTGTCATCTGAAAAGGAAAAAGGTGCAGGATTACAGGGAAAGAGTGGAAGAACAACACTGAAGTCAGTGGGTCGCTGGGGGAGATGGTGCTGACATGATGGCCCAAATGGCCTCCATCTGCACCATCATGATCCTGTGATTCTCTCTGTTACCTTGCGCCTCTCATTTGGCTTGTTCAATTTTTGAAATTGGTGCAAAACGCTGAGTGAAACTTTCTGTTTTTATCTCCAGGACTACTTGGACCTTGCAGCCTCCACGCCATCAGACTCCCTGCTCTATGATGATGGAGTGGCAGAAGAAGAGACGCCATTGGTAGACTGTAATAATGCTCCCCTCCCTCGGTCCCTCCCCTCCACATGGATTGAAAACAAACTCTACGGTAGAATTTCACATGCATTTACTAGATTCTAAGCTCATTTTCAGACACACTGCTGCAGCTGATGACCTTGTTTACACAGAACGCCTCCAAGATTCGGCGACAGAGGGTTCACCCAAACCTACAAACACTCCTCCAAGTGCCCTGGATTCATTGAATTCAGGCACAGTGCATGCATAGTGGAGCCCCATCCCCTTCCTCATAATGTACATTTAGTTATGGAAAGCCTGGGTTATATTGATACAATGTCATTAGAGTATCCTGTGCATTTTCCCTGTTGCTTCCTGGCAGGCATCAAAAAACTTTTAAACATCTTTTGCAAGCACTGTCACCTCTCTCTCTCTAAATATGTTTATATATGTGTGTATATAATGTGTTATTGATAGAAAATCTTGTCAATTAACTGCAAACCTCTTAGTAAACCCATAATCACAATATCCTTTTATGTCATAATTGGTGAACATTTCCATTGGTAGGAATCTCTGTCTGAATAGGAACGGGTGCATGGGCATGTGGGTACACACACACACACACGCACACACGCACGCATACACACACAGACCCGCACACACCCGTGCACAAAGATACACAGACACACAGACACACACAGACACACACAGACACACACAGACACACACAGGCACAAGTCAGGAATGCGCTGGAATACTCCCCACTGACCTGGATGAGTGCAGCTCCAATAACACTCAAGAACCTTGCTACCACCCATAATAAAGAAGACTGCTCAATTGGCACCACATCCATAAACATCTATTCCCTCCACCCTTGATATTCAGTAGCAGCAGTGTGTACTATCTACAAGATGCATTGCAGAAATTCACCAAGCCTTATTAAACAGCACCTTCCAAACCCACAACTACTTCCATCTAGAAGGACAAGGGCAGCAGATACATGGGAACACTACCACCTGCAAGTTCCCCTCCAAGCCACTCACCATGCTGACTTGGAAGTATATCGCCATTCCTTCACTGTCGCTGCGTCAAATCCTGCAACTCACTCTGTAAAAGCATTGTGGGTCTAACAGCACCAAATGCACTACAGCAGTTCAAAGAGGCAGCTCACCATCACCTTCTCTAGGGCAACTGGGGACGGACAATAAATGCTGGGTCCAGCCAGTAATGTCCCCATCCCAGGAGTGAATATAAAAAATACTGATGCACAAACAATCTCACACACACACATTCAAAAACACACGCACACACACATACACACACATGCACACACGTGAACATACACACACATGTGTGTATTTGTATGTCCTGTGGACTTGTGGTTAATTACATTACCTCCATTGGTCTTTTTCTGTTAGAGTGAGTGAATCTAATGTGTTAGACAAGTGATGACAGACACTGTGCTCTATTTGACAAGAGCTTTAGCCCCATATTAAACTAAATGGTAAATTTCACTCAGTGAGCTGGTATCTCTGTGTCACCACCAGGAACACATATAAACTGTAATGAGGCCCTTCCACCACACTATGGACCATCTCTTCCCCCAGCATAGTATCAGCCTTTCACACAAACTGTGATCAGCCACTCTCCCACACACTAATCAATCCTTCCCCTGCACTGATATCAGAATCAGTCTCTCAACCAAACTCAGAGCACTGATTATTACAAACTGTCCATATCTTAATTCCAGGGCTCTTAGTTATTAATAGTCTCTCACCTACCTGCAATACACGGCTTTTTATCCCTACTCAGACTCACAGTTATATCACTCTCTCTCTTACACACACTATCCTTAGTATCAGATTCACCATTATATCTCTCTTTCTGTTACACACCATGTCCTCAGCCTAAAGCTCTTAATTCATGTTTAATGCAATATAAAGCTGGATAGTAACTTTTCCCTCCAATAATACATTTAATTCATAAAATACGTCAAGAAAAGTTGCAGAAACATTTCGACTTGTGAATTTGCAATAATATTCAACTTGTCCCCATGCTACGAGATCAGCTCAAAATGAGTGTAATTGACCTATTATTTACAAAATGCATTCCATGGCAGGTTTGCAGCTTGAAGATGAAAATAAATTACAAGGAGTGCAAAAGATGTTAAGAATTTTCTCTATACAACATGCTGCGCTCTGATGTGCCTCAAAACATTTACATGTTTTACAATGTTGATTCTTTGTAAAGCACACCAGCTGGACATTAATAATTAATGTTACATCTCAGTGCGTAACAATTAATGTTACATCTCAGTGTAGCCTAATTCTCACTCTCTGCACTCACTGTCAGTCATTCTTGGTGTTGAGTCATTGAAAGTTTGTAAAGCTAGAGTGCATGAGATGTTTGAATGAACCAGGTAGACATTTCTGTCTGAACATTTGTTGGTACATGCAATACCTTTTTTCTGCTCGAATTAAGGCAAAATTTGGGAGCTTCATCCAGACGATGCAGATGGGAAGGAGTGGGATGTTACGGAGTGGGAGGTCTGGAGACAATATCGATTATGACCAGAAATCACTGGCTTCTTAGCAAGCGGTCACTGGGATCATGCACAGCACAACTTACTTCTCTACCCTATCCCGGTCTGTCTGTCAATGACACCCCGCTATTCCTAAAAGGAGAATGCGAGATGGTTGATAAATTATAAGCCTCTCAGGGAGACAGGGTCAAAGAGCACAAATCCCCATCCAAGATCAAACTGGACTCCAGTTGTGTAAGCAGAGGCAATGTATATAAGTATATAAAAATAAATTGACGCTGCAGCAGTTACTTTGATTTTCCTTTAATTTATAAATTATTGTAATTATTTTTATTTAAATTTTCTGCCCCCTTAATGGTGGTTCTTGTGTAGATATACATGGATGCACTGAATCAGATGTGGTGTTTTCTTTTGGTGAGAGTAATTTTCAGCACCTGAGTCTTTTGTTTTTCTTTTTTCTTTGTGGTTCCCCTGCTTTGTGCAGAAAAAATTATCTGTTTTCGTTTTTAGGCATCTCGTATCCTTGCTGGTCCGAAGACTGCTCTGTCCCCATCACAAGATTCGATGGAACTAACTCAGTCTTTACAAGATATGCAAATGATAGTGTTTATGCAAACTGGATGATGTCACCAACAGCTGTAAAATTTATGGAGCGGTGCGATAGTTAATAGTCAAAAAAAAAGCCCATGGAGAGCCAACAAAGTTGCACACATGAGTCACACACATACACACAACACAAAACATACATGCATTATTTCTTTGGCTCCTCTTCATAACACTGGACAGGCCTAAACTGGGTGAATGTAGATTCTGAAGTTCTCACATGGTGCCAGAGAAACTGGGGCAGAGTGACTGACCTCTGAACCCTCACCTGTGGTGACCTTTTCCTTCATAGCGGTCTCTCTTTTGCCTTTGAAACTCCTGGTGGTGAGGGCCAGTCTGTCCCGAAACTGGGCAAAAATTGCCGGGTCTCCTGCTTGGACGATTTTGGTTAGTAACTTCTAAACTCCATGAGTCAGAAATGCGAAGCATGCCAAAGTCAAATAGCTGGAGGTGAAAGGGACGGCGACGCGGGGAAATGATTTGCACGGCTTGAAACATTGCAGCAACTTCTGTGCCAACTATCAATGTTCTGAGGCTGAACCAATTAGATTTTTAGAGTGACTTATTCCTGTAGTTTTGAATAAACCAAACCTATCCATGACAAGCAGGAACTCAGTGATGACCAACTGGATTTGGGTGCAGCTGAAGTCAATGACACTGGCTCTGTCTGCCCAGAGCAATATTTTACTCTCTCTGTCTGTGCACCAGATCCCCATTGAGCCACAGTCCCCGAAGCAAAGGGGGTTGGTTGGTAGCCGAATGAAAGACGACGCTCAGGAGCATCGTGAGGCCATTCAGCCCCTCGAATCCTGGTTTAGTCACCTCCCTCAATTCTACCTTGCCTTGGGATCCTACAAATCCCTGAGTAATAAATACATTGAGGGAGCAGTGTCAGGGCAAGGAGGGGTCCTCTACCACCACCATCTCAGGGAACATAGAAACAGGCAAGATGCCATTCAGTCCCTTCAAACCTGTGCTACCATTTAATCCTCCATCCACCAGCCTGGTTCTACAAGGGCCAGAGATGGTGGTGTAATGGTAATATCATGCACCAGTAACCCAGAGGCCTTGGAGACATGGGTTCGAATACTACCATAGCAGTAACTGCTGGAATGTAAATCCAGTGATGAAGACCTTCAGTGGAAAGCTAGTCTCAGTAATTGTGACCATGGCAACTATAAATGATGGCTGTTTAAAAAAAAATACTTTCCTGCAAAGGCATTTCTTTATGTATTAAAGATAATAATTTGTGGGGTGTAGGCATTGGTGGCTGGGTCAATATTTATTCACCATCCCTAATTGGCCTTAAGAAGGTGCATCAATGTTGTGCCCACAGGTGCCTTACCTTGCTCCTTCTACAGTTTCATGAATGTATAGTCTGCTCATGAAAAGGGAAGGAAATCTGCCATCCTTACCTGGTCTGATCTACATGTGACTCCAGGCCCACAGCAATCTGGTTGACCCTTAACTTCCCTCTGAAATGACCAAGACAGCCAATCAGCTCAAGGGAAATTCGGGATGGCCAAACAATGCCAGCGTCATAATGTTGCCCAGATTTCCCAATCAAACAACCAAACCTGTTTAACCCTCCGGCTGTTAGACTCTGGGTGGGACTAGGCAGCAGTGCAAGTGAAAAAAGGTGTGTGGTTGGTCTTGACTCATCTGCTCAGGTTCCTTCAGCAGGGGTCAGGGTCGGCACAGCATGGTTGCTTCATGGCCTGTGGGTCTAGCTTTGCACTCTCACCCTCAGAAAGGTGTAGGAATTGAGAAACAAATGGGGTTGGATGGATGTCCAAATGGAGCAGCACGGTGGCTCAGTGGTTAGCACTGCTGCCTCACAGCAGGGACCCAGGTTCGATTCCAACCTCAGGTGACTATCTGTGTGGAGTTTGCACATTGTCCCTGTCTCTGCGTGGGTTTCCTCCCACAGTCCAAAAATGTGCAGCTTAGATGGATTGGCCATGCTAAATTGCCCACAGTGTCCAGGGATTAGCCATGGGAAAATGCAGGGTCACAGGGATAGGGTAGGGGTGTGGGTGGGATCCTTTTCGAAAGGGCTGAATGGCTTGTTTCCACGCTGTAGGGATTCTATGAAAGGTAATGCTCAATGGGAGAACAGGAAACCATCGGGCAACCACCTAGAAACCGATATTCATTTCAACCCCACCGACTCCCACAGCTACCTAGAATACTCCTCCTCCCACCCACCTTCCTGCAAAAATGCTATCCCCTATTCACAATTCCTTCGCCTCCACCGCATCTGCTCCCAGGATGAGGCATTCCACTCCCGTACATCTCAGTTGTCCTCGTTTTTCAAGGACCGTAACTTCCCCTCCTCGGTGGTCGAGAACGCCCTCAACCGTGTCTCCCACACCTCATCCCTCACACCCCGTCCACGCAATAAGAACCAAAAAAGAATCCCCCTCGTCCTCACGTACCACCCCACCAACCTCCGGATCCAACGCATCAT